CAAATAGCCATGGCCTCCAACCTAATAGCCATGGCCTCCAACCTAATCGCGATGGCCTCTGACCTAGTAGCAAAGGCCTCCAACCTAACAACCGACTAGGGCCTCTTCTTTGGAGCCCTTGCTCGGCTTCTTGGACAAGAGCTGTTCGGTGGCCGTGCGCTCATCGATCTCCTTCCCCAAGTTTCCTCGCTCGGCGGTCAAGTAGGGGTGACTCATCCACCAGTCAATCCGTTCACGGAAGATCTGACATGAGGTGACTTGCTGCGTCTGGCAAGGATCATGAACGACTCAACCCGACTCAACCCCACCGGAACCGTTTCTGCTGGGGACTGGGGATGGCGCCCAAGTCACCCAGCAAAAATGATATTCTTATAACGTCTTATAACATTACTTGGTACAATCCTATCAGAAAATGACGATCGGTATAAACTGATACTAACAGGCGATCACCAAATCAACCAAACAGTTAATTCACGTACAATTTGTAGTGTGGTGATCTATTCTTGCCCTGCGGAGATTCTCCCAGACCATTGATGCCACCCATCTTGGTGCATGCACGAAAACGAAAACCATCGCAAAAACCATCCCAAGGGTCCAATGGTATCGCGGAACCACTGTGTGAGCTCACGTCGCTGCTGCTCGTCCGGATCCGCTCGATCCTCACGCGTCAGGCCCACCTGAACTCGGCGCGTTCGTAAAGCGCGTTCTTCGCGCGCGTTCTTTGGCCCAAACAAGCCATGCTGTTGCATGTCAGCGCCCTAGGGCGCTGACATGACTCAGTGGAACAAACAATGTTGGGCTCTTTGATCGGCTGGGTCATGACAACCCCAAAGAGGCCAGGAACAAACAGACCATTGCCCGAGCATCCAGAACCATGCACATGGCCTTTGGGCTTCAAAGCCCAGGGCATGCCAGGCTGTGCTAGGCTGAACCCCAGCGTCACGTCCGGTCCCGGATGCCTGAGAGTAGCGCTTGGTCTTGCTCTCGCGTTCGAATTCCTTGAAATGGTCCATGAGAACCTCGATCTTGTCCTTGCGTTCATTGAGAGGATTCTTGTCCTTGACCTGGGCAACGCAACGGATTGACACCACGGATGTTGCTGGGGGGAATGAAGGAAAGCGGAAGGAGCATCCCTTCAAATAATCGAACCAGAAAAGTGTGCCCCTAAGCCCGCACAGTGTTGTTCTTCTGACTGGCTTCTCACCATGGTCCTTTTCACAAACCACTCACATCTATCTTGATTTATTTCAAAGCCACGTTCTTGTCCCCGATCCACGCGATGATCTGATTTCGCTCGCGTTGGAGCTTCTTGATCTGAGCCTTCAAATTTTCCTCCAACTTCTCCTTCTGATTCGGCTGTGATGCTCTACTATGCGCCTCCCGAAGGCGGTTGTACTCCTCAAGGCGGTTGTACTGCCCAAAACCCGCGTGTTTGGGTGCGGATGGAGAGTTATGATGATGGGGCCCGGTTGCAGGCCTTTCTTCCAAAGAAAAGAAGTGATACTTATTGCCGACTGTTGCTGGTTGACTGGGCTACACCCTCCTAAGTATACCTATGGGCCGGAGTGAAAACCAGCACATGGAAAAATCCAGAGTATAAAGCCTAAAGTGTATATATAAAGAAACACGATGTATAGATCAATTTCAATCTGATCTCCTCAACCCCTTCGTCCACTTTCTTCTGGGCCTTCTCAATTTCTCCCATCATCTTCTTTAGTTGTGCCATGGCAGCTGGAAATGAACAAAACGCAACCCGTCGTGTCGCGAACCGCTTGTCGCGGCAGGGTTGCCTCACGCGGACAAGCCTCTTGCCTGGTCAAACCATGTGCTGCAACATCTGAGCCACGCAAAGACGTTTCACGGCTCTCGGCCACCTGCTGTGCTTTGATATGTTTTTGGATGTGTTGTGCACAGCACGGAAGTCATAGCACACAGGCAATCCAGTGTTTCCCATAATGTAATATGACCATCTCAGAAATTGTTGGGAAAGCTGCTCAAAATCAACATGGTCTCCCACATCTCTGCCATCTATTGATGGGTTAAGCAATGTCAGCCACCGAGTCAGTCGAGGGGTTTTGGACTTTGCTGGCAACTCATTATTACATCATATGCCGCCTCACTACCTTTTTTACGGTGTGGCACCTACTATAGATGGCATGGAATGAAGTTAGCCTTGGATGGAATTTAGGGACTTGGATTCCAAGTCTTCAAGTGCTGACACACTGCGCATGCAATGGAAGTGTCCAAGCGGTGTGCTAGCTGGCGCGCGTCCTGTACCCTCCACTTCAGCATGGGACCCGCCTCTTCATCCTTCTCGGCAAGTCCTAGGTAAGCATGATGTGTAGCGGCGTAGCGAACACATTTAGCTTATAATATGCATCAGCTGTGTCCATCTCCCAAGCTCACCACCAGGTATAGGAAGCTCTAGGACCACCAGGCTTCCTAACCAAATGTCAGCAATGATGGAGTGCCGGCATGGTCAGGCGTGGCCCGGGTTCCTTTTTCGGGTGCAGCACAGACCGGCGGACAGGCGGACCACAACAACAACAACAACACCAGCAGAGCAGCAGCAGCAGCAGCAGCAGCAGCAACAGCAACAGCAACAGCAACAGCAACAGCAGCAGCAACAACAGTTTCAGTAATGATGTCTCCTTTGGCCAAAGGTGTTTCCTCCTGGATTGATGCAATAAACATAAGAGACACACAATTAGTGGGTTGTCTCGAAATGAAATGCCGCAATGCCAAGAAAAGGGCCCGTCTTCCACGATCAGAGTGCCTCCACTATCAGAGTGCCTTAAGCATCCTTCCAGGATTAAAACCACTTTCCAAAATGTACTCATGTCATATGTGTGCAGTCCATGTTCTTCGTTTGTAATCAATAATTGTCTCCAAACGCGAGGCTTCGTCTCCAAAATACATCCAAAAGATGCATGACAAGCTACTCTTATTCTCTTCTTCTTTGAAGTCCTCGAGCCTGCGAGCTGCCAGGATCGCCGTGGGCAAAAACTCCCATGTCGAACAGGCGCTTCCTTGAAGAAGCGCTCGCACTAGTGATATGGCTTCTAGATTTTGAGGGAAACTTAGGGTCCAGCTCTTAGCAGGTTTTAAGGGCAACTGGATGAGTGTTCTTCCTCCCCCAACATCCGATCAATCCCCCAAAAATGTTGCAAGAGACGTTGCTTCAAAGAGGTGATGCTAAGGTTTCCTCCCCAAAGCTTTCTACACAAAACCTGATTTTCAGCTGAGGTGGGGTCGACAAATTATGACAAAACAGAATGAATTGCACACACACACACTCACACACACACATATATATATATATATATATTATGTCCTGCCGGGTCTACTTTAGACAGCGACACGCTTGTGAAAAACACAACGTTCTTTTTTGTTTTTACTTTTAAATGAATAGTGAACCGAATCCCGAATCATCTGGGCTGCCGCACACCGGAGAAAGTCTCTTCTCTCCAGCGCGCACACTTTCAAGCAGCACACGCTTGTTCCCCGATGGGTTTTGTAAGACGTGTGAGTGCACATGTGTACAGAAGGCATGTGCAGCGTAGCGTAGAAGAGATTCTTATGTATGGGTGTGCAATTGGAACCAAACGATGACATCCCATCCCATCCGACCAAAACCCTCGGAAGCGTGGAACAGTTCTGAAGTCGTCAATGTGTGTGACTATCATCGAACGAATATCGAACGACAAAAACAGGCGCGGTCAATTGCGCGCAATGGTCGCGCAAATGTCCCAAAAAAGACTATTCAAAAAGCAGTTACATGTGAAGATACACGTGACGTAAAGAGACTAAATTGTCTTGCACAAACCCGTCTGGATATATGTATGTATGACATATGTATATATTATGTGTATATATATATGTATACAGCGGGCCCAATTCACCAGGGAGTCTTGATAAATGTCGTTTTCCAGCTGGCAGCTATCCGATGCATTCACCGTTGAGAAAAAGAACAGGCTTTCCCAAACACGATCTTATAAGTATATATATAGTTGGCACATCTCTGGATGCTATCTCTATGCAGGGGGTAGGTTCCTAATTACACAAACTCTTCTCGATTCCAAAGCTGAGAGAACGGTGAGAACGGTCATGCTCTTCATGCTCTGCGGGCGGTTGAGAGGGCGGGCGTTCCGGACGTTCCGGAGTTGTTCAAAATAGGACTTGACAAAAAGCGTCACGTGTGCCCGTTGGGGATGAACTTTGGGACCACTGGGAAACTCAGGTGAGCCCAGGTGACTCACATGGATCGATGAATGCAAATACTACACATCCAAACCTGCTTGAGGGAAGCATCGTGGCATCAATGCCCCACCCATCCCTTCTTCGCACCAAGGGATGCCATGCATCCCCCTCGATCTCACCGATCTCGCCTTCGCTTGGCGGCCTCTAAGGCTTCTTCCAAGCTAGCTCGGTCCTGCGATGCAATGGCACTCAAGGTATCAATGCAATGTTTTGCTGGAAAAGTCTACGGGAAATCATGATGTTTGCCCCTAGAACCATTGTTTTTCTGTGCATAGATTTAAGATGATTTAACCCTTCATCGAAGTAAGTGGAGTGCGACAGAATCTTCAATAGAACCAAGTCCTCCTGCACACTTCTGCTGCTTGTTGCACAGCAACTGCTGAAAGCTAGTCCAATATAGTATACAGACCTCTACCCTCCTACATGCACGGAACACTTGTATCTCCCCCCTCACCATCACACGCTGATTGTGCTTAAGCCGGCTGAATGAGGTCCTTTGCTCAAGCTTTTTCCTGGTTCACACGATAGTCACCAGGTCCCAACTTCGGATCTACACTCCCTGGAACTCACATGGTTACGTGGAGTTCACCACCTGTTTGTAGTGGATTTCATGGTCTTCCGAACTCGGGGGCCATGCCATCCACTTCCATGTTAGTTCCAGGGAGTGTAGATCCGAAGTCCAAAACCAAAGCCCCCCAGAGAGTGTAGCTCCCAGCTGCGTGCGTGCGCTTGACGTCGTCCACGCGTTTTCGCCGGCGGTGTGAACGTGACGCTGCGGACCGGTTGTCACAGATCGAAGGCCAAAGTGAAAGGAAACATCATACTCCCGGGAGGCTTCCTGGCCCACCAGCTGATTTAGTAGGCTGGTCATCTCGAAGCACCCTTGTTGTACTAAGGGTTTTACACTACAAAACCAGGTGAGCCATGGTGAGCCAGATTTTGATGGTCTTGGAAAGTCTGGGGTGTACCTAGTACAGGAACCTGACAAAGTCATCCCCTAGTCATTCCTTGACACTGTTTCAATGGTCAATCACCATGGCAACGCTGTTTCCAAGAAGTCATCCCCCAGTCACCCCCGGGAGTGAACCCCAATGGAACGCTGATACCCAAACAACACTTATCATATCATATCATACACCGCACCTGTGCATCAACAGCAGGCGATCCTGAGTACATTAACAACCGAAAAACACAAATCCACCACGAGAAAATGTAAACCTTCCACTCATGATGAATGCCTGCCAATGCTTACATCAAGCCCTTTATGGGTTGCCAACATACAACCTAAAAGTAGGTCCCTTTCCAACCAACAGAGTTAGCTTGTGTTTGGGAAGAAGAGACGACTTTCCGCAAAGCCTTCCCCCAAGGCAGGGTAGCAATCACTCAAAAAAAGTGACGACATTGTCTTTTGCATGCATACCTATAGCTACATCTACCTACCTTCCCCGCGCTCGCTCGGACGAAAGCTCGGACGAGCCGATCCATCATGTTCCGACCTGCTTGTGTTCCGCCTTCAACTCGCTCATCTGAGCCGGAGCCGCCGTGCCGCCGTGCGACCGAAAACAGCGACTGCTGAGGTCGAAGACTAAGCTGATCCTTTGGGAAGCCGGACCCCAAAACATCACATCGAATATTCATCGGCTAAGGATGGTGATCTGACCATTCTTCGATTTGGGGACGTCGAAAGCGAAAGCCTTGTGACACGCCACATGCAACGAATGATGAATTAGGGATCGACTCTTTGTTACTAGTAGCTTCTTGTTCCTAGTAGTGATGGCGTCCTTGCTCCTAGTAGCGATGTCCTTTGGTACTAGTATAGCTTCTTGTGCTGGACCAAGGACCAATGAACATCGGAGAAATCATAGCAAGGACGCTACTAGACTAGTAGCTCCTAGCCGTACTACCAGTAGCAAGAAGCTTCTATAGGCATTTGCCGGTGCGACTGGCTGAGCTCTCGGCATCTTGAGAGAGCTGCTCCTCCTGCGTGGCCATCTTCTGCTCGTAACCGACCTCGCAGGATGCCGGTCCGGCCGAGGTTACCAGCTCGTGATTCGGATTGGTGGCCAGGCCTGGGTCGTCTTTGAGCCCGAAAGGGCAAGAGTCCGTCAAGTCCGGCCAGGCCAGGAGGCCAGGCACGACGGAACATCTGCTGGCTTCCCTGAATCATATCTGATCAGTCCAGCACTTTCTTCCAACCCGCCCGCCCGCACCGAGTGATGGACCAAATCTCTGGCCAGAGATGGCTAGGAAACCGACCACTAGTGGTAGAGACCCCCCGTGGTCGAACCCCGAACCCCTTCCGAACCAACCAGGTTGGAGGCCGACCCCCAACCAGTTTGGGATTTCGTCCCAAATCCATCACCCAAACCACCCGCGGGAGTCCCGAACGGTGTTCGAGGCCGAGTTCCGCCGTCTCCCGTCCGACCTTCCCGGAGGCTCGAACGCTTTTTGGTTCGCGTCGTGCAGTGGCCCATTCACCCGGACCATTAATACCAAGCAGTGGAACGTGGCGTGGAACGTTTTCGTTCCTCCCGGCCTTGTGCCGGCGGGTCAGGACCAATTGGTGGGTTGGTGGTTTGAACATCTGGGACTTGATTCCCCACATGTACAGGTTCCAACTTGCATTTCAGGCCTCAGAATTCCTACCACCAACCCACCTGGCCACCAGGTTGGAAATGTATTTGTTGACAGCCTAGGGGAGGGATCACCCGTACATGTGGCATCCCAGAGTCCCACCAACCCAACCAAAAGACACCTGAAATCAGAGGGAACAGCTTCTGCCAAACGATGTAAGGACTCTTGACACGCTCCAGTAGCAAACTCGCAGTGTCTAGGACTATACTCTTGGTGCTTCAGATTCATATTTTACATATATATATATATGTATATGGATATGGTGTGTGTGTGTAAGTATATTTAAGTTGTCATAAAATAATGACCAACTCCCATGATCAACCTGTATGCCCTCTTGCTTGTCGGTCTCATTTCGAAGCGGCCCCAAGGACTCACGGCCTCCATATCAGAGAGTTGACTTAGGAGTTGCTGCTTCTCCTCCACTTCGCCGACATCGCCGAACACTCCACTATCCCTACGTCGCTTCTGGTGCCCGGTACGGGGTGCCCGGACCAACGATCCGAATCGCGAGAGGGGGTGGAGACCCCCTCAACACACAGCTGGTGTCTGATTAAGTCACTAGACCAAGGGAAACCCCTCAGTTCGACCTCTAGGGAAGATCAAAAACACACGAAGATCCATTGGTTGGAGGTCCCCTCCTCTTGAAAAACCCAGGTGATTTCCGTTGGATTCCATGCGAGAACGGTTCTGCACGCTTCTTCTCTTTACCTGCGAAGAAGAAGTTGCCTCCGAAGTCACTGGGCCCGCTTTTTGAGGTCATAGTGTGCAGTGACCACACCGGAAGGCCTACCGGAAGGCCTCTGACTTCTCCAATCGAACCCAAGGCAGGGAAGGGTAGGCAAGCCTGGCAAGCCCCTACTCCACAAGTGATGTGCTCGAAAACAGTGCTTGAAAGTTCGTGAATTTGGGCTTCAAGACACCTCCCAGGCACAATTCGAAGATTGGCCCTTTCGCTCAGAACCCAACTGGTCCAGCGACACCTGCAGCACCCAGCACTGCCCAACACCCATCCCAGACATCTCCAGGCATATGGCTGTCACCTGCGGACCAGTTGAACCACTGAACATGAACAGAATAGATGGTTGAACACCTGGGCAACCAACCTCCTCTCTCTCGGGTGATTTCCGGGCACCCCGAGAGGAGCCCCCGGAGCCCACCGCCATGGTCCCACCCCTTCGTCTCACGAGCTTCGTCGTGACTCGGCGCTCCTTCTGCGCCGCGGCAGCGTTCTCCTCCATGTCGCTCCTCACCTGGCGGGCTTTCGTTCGGCGCCGAAGGACGAGCCGCAGTTCTCCGGCCGCAACAGGTCGGGGGCCCAAACACCAGCCTCTCCCACCGTTCCATCCACGGTCACTCGCACCATTGAAACACGGGGTCACCTCGCAGACATCCCATCAAACCCGACGGTTCCCTCGTAACTCGACGGACCGAAGAAGCCCATCGCGTGTGTGCTGGGCGTGGCTTGGGCTCAGGAGTTGGTGCCTCCTCCGTGCTGAAACCTTCAACTCGTATGAGCTCGCGGCTAACTAAGCCTTCGTCGCATGGACAATTCCATGTGTTCCAAGCCCCCCAACGGATTTCAAGACAATTTTTACTTTCAAAAACCTCAGGGCTGTAATTTTGTTAGAGCTCTGCACCCATCACAACATACCACAAGCACATGCGCTCACCGTACCTGTTCCAATTCCTTCTTGGCCAGGTCCAGATGTGCTCCAAGCGCATCCCGCTCGTGTTCGATGGCCGTGCGCTCCTCGCTCCCCCCCCTTATGGGGCCACAGGGCAGCTTGAAACTCTTGATGAATCAAATCCCCCCAATTGGGGATCCAATTGGGCGGTGTTGGGGATCCAATTGGGCGGTGAAACCCCTTAGCTTGATGTAATTCTAAGATCATTGGGCACCCCAACTAAGGGCACCTCCGATGGGCACCCGTCTCTCTATTGGCGCCGCCGCCACCCAAGCGGTCACCGTGGGGCGATGGGTTCAGACGAAGAGGTCGCCCACCATCCATGTCCGTGGGGCGATGGGTTCAGAGGGGTTCGATGGCGTGACACATGTCATGCATGAGTGTCATGAAGCATGAATCATGGTATGACTCTAGATTCTTTTTCACCCGTCCCATTTGGATTGGAAAAACGTCCTTCAATAGGGTGGGTTTATTAATCGAGAGCCTACATTACAACTTGCAGAAACCAGAAACTGAGCCAGTTTCACTCACCAAACAACCTCCAAATGGGTCGCCAAACAGTCCTTCTCCAAGAGTTCGACCTTTTCCGAGATCTGCAGATCGGGTGCCGACAGGCCGTGGCAAGGAAAACAAGCCCAAAACGACGCTTTTCCCTTGGAGATGGGTCCGTTGTTCGGGAAACAAGTTGGTTTGGGGGAGCACGGGTATGTTACCAGCAACTTACAAGTTTTGTTGGGAACTAGGACAGCCACGGCTGCCACCACAGCCAATGGGAAGAATTCTGGATTTGCATCTGGTCTCCCAAAACGATCTCAGCCCACGTTGCACCCTCACAGGTTGTTGCAGCATGATGCAACTGCTGCGCCATAGGAGACCAAGTATCAGCTTGGGTTGGTGCGCTTCTTGGGGAGGTGCCTTGTTATATATGCGCCACATGCAATGATTGTGTTTTGGGCATGCAATCGCATGCAAACAACAAAGCGGGAAGCACTCTATCCTATCAAACCATGCACACGCACACCTATATGTATACAGACACGTATTCGCACATATGTAACAACATGTTGATATATTGGATGTTCTTATATAATCTCATATACATGTTCTTGGCACATTCTCAGAAAGAAAGTCTTGGGTACATGCACACTTGCAAATTTCATGAGGGTCCTGTGCTAGCATGTCATTCACATCAGTGATAACATGTGATAACATCAAAAACCTAACTCTCGGCTTACCAAGGCTTACCGGAAAAAGTATCAACACAGGTCACGTGGACAGTCGGCATGCTGGTCACATGGCTGCCAACCCCAACATCCTCTACGAACGGACTCTCTGCCTTGTTGTGAGGCCAAAGAAGCAACCCCCGCCCCACTGAGGCCCTGAACTGCTTGGTGGGTTCAAAGCTGGCAGCTGGCAGCTGGACCATCAAAATGATCGCTTAAGTAGACCACCACCCAGATCTACATTTACATGTTTCAAGGGGGTAGCGGTAGAGAATGGACGGATTGATGCCCCAAGCCCGGGCTGCCCCACACATCCAGAGAGCTCGCTTTTCAGTCAATCACCACTTCAACCACCCTCACGATCGTTGAGGGAAATCCCATCTTGGGTCATCCATGGGGAAAACCCATCGCCGTGTCGAAAGCAGCCCGACCTCCAAAGCTCGCTGCGCCTGGGCGCGCGAATAATAGCGCTGGCTCCGTGTGAGCGCAGGCTGCGGAGCGAGCGAGACCAGAGCTGGCTCGGTCGGTGTGTTCAACAAAGAAGTGCAGTCCTGTCGAAAAACCAAGTGGACATATTGAACTTAGAACATGTTATGCTAAGCAGGACTCTTGGGAAAAAAAAGACACACATGAAATTCGACGCCCGATTCACCAGAGTCTACTACAAGAAAAGAACGAACAAGGCAGCAAGGCCACAAGGCCCCCTTCACGCTGCCCATCTTCGGCCATCCACCTGAACCTGAAGACCCAGGATCCCCAATGCTTTCGGCTTTCACTTGGGTGATTTGACCTCAGGGCGGACGGTCCGGCGGAACCGCCATCCAAGAGGGGCAGAACGTCGCCAGTGATTTGACCTTGGTGGTTTCAGGTGGGTTTTGTGTGGTTTTTCACCGTGGCCCAGTGCTCAAACACCTTGGCACTCGGCCCAGGTCGAAAAGGCACCGATTTTTGGGGTAGATCCCATGCCCTGCAGCAGTGGATGATGCATCATTGATGGTTTGGTCAAGGCCTTTCTTCTAACATAGTGACACTTGTTGACCGACTGCTCCATATAATAGGAGAGTTAATAGCAGATCCCTTTTAGAAGGGAATCTCTGGGATGTGAAAAAGCCGGGTCCCATGGATTGGGTCTGGGGGCTTTTTTCGTTCGGTCCTCGGCATCGAAGCCGGGCTGTGCTCCAGGCCGGTGAGTTCTGCTTCAGTGGCTCGTTGGGCTTCATGGGCCTGGCGATGCCACCAAGCACTACGGCGGAGAGAACCGAACAGTTAGGTCAACAGTGGGAGAATGGGTCTCACCCACCGCATGGATCAGGTCTGGAGTAGTCGTTTTTAGGTGATGCGGTTCCAACACATCAAAAGCCAGAGCCTTTCAGGTCCCGAAATGGCTTGTTTCAAAAGTTCGCTCAGCTCGAGATGAGGCGGCGCTCCAGCCTATCTCGATGCTGGCGCCCAGATCTCCGGTGGTTCCCCAACTCTTGCCTGGTCCAACTCTTGTTGCGTGAGGTCCAAGTGTTGTTGTAGAGCATCTCGCTCTTCTTCCACCGCCTTCCGCTCCTGCACCCGTACGGCCCAGGAGTTGGGCAACTCCTCTCAAAGGCCTCCCCCAGTGATGCTGTGTCGCTGTGTCTGGCGAAAAGAACTGATGCAAGACCAACCCAACCGGGGGAACCCGAGGTCTACCATTCTGGCCGCCCCTGGCCGCTCTGATGGGCGAAGGTCAAGTTTCCAACGTTAATTCCCAGGGTCAATGTTAGTTTTCGGGAGTGTAAGAGGCATTTACACGTCGACTTCACATGCATATATAGCAGTGGACCATGGGATCCCGCATGGCCCGTTTCCATCCTTTTTCCGCAGTTTCCCTGGAAAATCGATAGGAACAAATATGGGACACTCTCCCTGCAACGAACTTAAAAGTGGAAAACCCCCGGTTTGTAGAGGATCATTGTCTTACATTCAGGTGAGTTCCGGAGAGTGTATCGGCATAAAAATCGTAGGTGAACTCGTGAACCCCTGACCAGCTGCTGATAGTGTGGGGTCGCCTGACCGGATGACCCCACACTATACGCATAGGATCGCATAGGCTACTTATAGGTCTCCGTTCGACACGCATTGGAAGCGCTCATGTGGGTTTCAACAAGGACAGACTTGATGCAACAAAAGCGTGCTCATGTGTGTTCATGAGCAGTGCTGTAGCATCTGCGATCCATCTTCTTGCATTCTTCTTCTGGTCGTACTGCCTGCATTAGAAAACACTTCTGCTGTCACTTTCCCCGCGGTCCTTCTCCAAAATCGTCACCTTCTCTGCGTTCTCCGCATTCAACTTCTCGATCTGCGACGGGCCAACCCAGCAAGCAAGCCGCAGCAATGCGCAAAAAGTATGTTGTGCCCGTTTACGCCACACGGTTCACCTTCAAAAGCATTGCATAGGGCGTTTGGTTGTGACAGTTTCGGCTGATACCAGTGCATGGCAACATGACTGATCCAAAACTGTTCCAGAGCGATTCGTGCGCACCAATGTTGAACAAACGGTCGGCCAAAACACCCCGAGGACAAGCACCAAACACAAGAGTGCAAGTTTCAAACAAAACGCAGCTTAATCAACAACCGATTGAATCTGAGTCCTGCAACCTGTAGGCACAACACTACAAAAAAACGACCAACAAATAGCAAGACACCAAACGACCTGGCTTCGTCCAAACTCCCAAAAATCTCCAAAGTACCGGCTTTCCAGCAGAAGAAAAGATCACCGGAACTCCTTGCCTTCTGTTCCAGCTCCAAGACTTTGGTTTGATGCCACGTCTCCAGGAACCCCTCAACATCGATCGGTCCAGTGTTCTCCAGGTGAGTGACTGCGTTTTGGTTTGGCAGCGCACCAATGAGGCGTTGGCTTTGATCTTCTATCCCAAAACCAAGTTCCCGGGTTGGTGCTCAAATTTAGGGCGACCGACCCATCTAGCGATTGTGATTGGGGGATCTCTCTTGACTTGAAAAAGTCCCTTCCAAGGTCAGGGCTGTCCTTGGGCTCAGGATGATGCCTCTGCAGGGTTCCAGTCCATATCTGTTACATGTGGACCATGGCCCCGAGTCGACTCGGACCACCGAAGGCACTCGGCTTGGGACCTTTGACTCGGCGCTTCGTCCCCCGAAGCCCTTCAAAGGTCCCGCGCGGCGAACGCGGGGACGCTCGGACAAGGGTCGGAGCCAAATTGGTTCATCATGTCCAACAGAGGTTGAAGGACCGTATAGACTATCCCATAGGTATCCCAGTAGGGCCCTATAAGGTCACTCAACCTCTCTTGGGTCGTGTCCGTCCTTTTTGTAGGCGTCGCGGAACGATTCGAAACCCTTAAATGTTTCAGTAGAGGGTGGAGGTGGCAGTTCACTACCAAGGTGTGATGCCTCGCGTGATCCACGCCAAGTGGCGCTTTCTTCCCGAAGTTCCGCCAGCTGGCCTTGCCGCCCGACGTGCGAGTCGCGGTCCAAGCCGCAGCCCGGTTTGAGTAGCGGAACATAGCGGAACCCCTTCCAAAGACGTGAAAATTAAAAACCTCGAAAGGATTCGAAAGGTGCCTTTTCTGGAACCTTTTGGAGGCACCAAGCTATGAACATCCATCCTCATCCCTCATCCATCCTCATTCCCTGGAACCTCCGCCCCCCAGAGCTCGAACCGCGCACGCAGCATCACGCCGCTCTCCGCTCTCCGCTGCGCTCCCCGGCGCTGCAAGTCCGCTTCGGCAGCACGGTGGCTCTGGAGCACCTGGCGACGGAGAAAGCGAGGCGAGCGACCTGGGGCTTCATGTACCAGCAGCCGACTCTACAGGTCTCCGAAATGGAGCGACCAGTGGCGACCTGGCAGGTCCTGGCAGGTTTCGGGTGCTGGTAAGTGTAGAATGGATTGAGAGTAGATGGCAATATGATGGCAGAAGTCCCAAAAAGGTTGTGCATTTGGAACCCCATCTTTAAAAACAAACATGGATATGGGTTTGTGATGGTTTGTGCCATCTACCCTGAAAGCACTGTAAGCAGAAACGTGAGTGGCTTGAAGCTTGGAGATGCCTTGGGGCTGGATCTACTTGTGACCCACACACTTGTGCCACACACAAAACAGCACAGTTGCCCTACAAATCATTCAAACATCCTTAACTTTGCCTGGAAATCACTGGTTTAGGGGGTTTCGTCTTCGGCGTGTGGCCCCCCGACCTCATTGAGCTCCTTCTTGGTGTGCTCACAGCTGTCCTGAAGCTCGTCTCGCTCCAATTCGATCGCTCTTCGTTCCTGAAAGCGGCTCAGAGCACCGGGGATCGACACCTCCATCGAAACCGGTATATATTGGGCATATCCTATTACCAGGACCCAGTTGACCCCAAGAATTCCAGGGATTCGTCTACATGACCAAGGGTTGGGTATAACCCATGTACCAGTAAGGGCCCAGTGGATGAGGATGAGGATGAGGATGATGATGGGGCCTAGTTGCAGGCTTTTCGATCTAGGAAAAAAATGGATGTTCTGGTTTACCGACTGTTACGGGTAATGGGACAGACCCAATGTATATACCTCAAACCTGAGTGACCTATTTTGAACCATCAACCACCCAAAAGGTCTTCTCCTATCAAAACAGTGGTCAAATGGGCTCTAGGAGTGTGTTATATATATAGTATTCTATATACATATATCTCTGTTATCCAGCACACTTGGGGAGGATCAGGGAGTGGGGCATAAATCATCATAATCGCAATCCATGGTACGTTCTGAGGATACGAAGAACTTACAGTAACCATCAGCAACCAATGTTTAAAGGAAACCTTGCTGGACTTCGATCATTGGCAATCACTGCAAAAAGGTATTGAATTTGAACCACTACTTTGAGCCACTGGCTATAAACTGTACTCATGGAAGTGGAACACCGCCTGTTTGCAGAGGAAAATGGTCATCCAAGGGGCCATCCCATCCACTTCCATTCCATGATTATTCCGAGTGTACCCCCCAGCTTCCAGCAATCTGAGGGCCCTTCCGTTGTGCTTTTTCGCTTGCCAAGCATCGGCCGTGAGGCTGTCAACGTTGCTCGTGAGCTCTTGCTTTTCTTCATCCGCTGTTTGAATGGCTATCTCCAACTCAAATTGCCCTCAGCTGGCCCCGTCGCCCATCCAAAATCCATCCGAACATCCGGAATCCGGAACCCGGGACAATGACAGACCGGTGGCACGTTTGGACCGGTCGCGCGGGTGATTCATGTACTTGGACTGGGACTCTGGATTTATAAAATCCCCCCAAACATGGATTGAAGAACCTCTTCACCTGGGAGGCTTTTTGCTCAAGAGTATACACATCTACATGAACATGTTCACTGAAGCCGGACTAAACCTGCGCTGCATGTCATGCACTGGAGGAGAAAAAAGAGAAGTTTGTTTCACTCACATGTGAAAGACTCACGAAACACTCATGAGTTTCACATGTGCCCATCAGCCACTGCCCAAACGCGCTCCAAGCCAAGACCGGATCCGGGTCTCTCAGTCGACATGTCGCAAAGGCCGACACGTCGTAGCTTTTTGAGGTTCGGGGTGGGTGCCAGGAGGCTTCAGTCATACCGAACCTGAGGAGGTACGACTGGAGGTGTGCTGCAAACCTGCCACATAGATATGGAGGCCACAGGAATATCGACCATCAACCTAGCGTCGACTTTCATGCTCAGCTCGTTTCCTTCAACCCCAAGCTCCTCCATGCTCAGCTCGCACGTTTAAGTGGTGGATGTTTGACGGTGAGAGCCGGAGCCAAGGGTCGAGTGTAGGCATCCTTGAGGTTCGTCTCCTGCCGTCTGGTCGAAAGTGGTGGACTTTGGGAAGCCCAAAAGAAGCAACTCTGACCATGTCGACATGGGCCACTGTGGATCCATAGGGGGTCAGTGCTTCACTGGCACACACTTTTCTGGAAAACCTGGGTTTCGTGCAGTCATTCCAAACCAGCTGGTATGCAACGCGGGTGTGTGAGTCGAACAGTTGCAGAAAGCACGCTAGTGGCCGCAGGGAATAGTTACATTTCTTTACCTCATGCATGACCTAACGTAAGTGACTCAAGTAACTTAAGTCTTGCAGTGAGTCAAAACAGGGGGGCCCTCATGTTGACCACTGACAATGAACACAGATTCCCAAGCAGCTCAAGGACTCAAGGACCCAGGTTTTTGGGCAATTCCAGATTGTAGTTCCCCACGGGCCCACTTCCTGCAGCTGTACCTTCTCTGAGCTTTTCTGCAGCTCCTCGCTCGCACAGGAGGGCCACGCAGCAGTGACGCAGAGTGACGCCGCGTCGCGCGGGGTCAGCAGGCACCAGTTGTCCCATAAAGGGAAGCACGGCCCAGGGCAGCATGGTCCGAAAGAATGACAACAACGGTCCCACCAGTCCTGGTTTCATGGTTTCATGAAATCCTGTGATGAAACAGATGGAAACCACCGACCAAAGTAGACACAAGTATAGACTACACCATCTGTCCTAAAACTTCAATGAATAAGAGGATTCTGGCGATTACGGGCGGTTCCCAGCTTTCAAGCCCACGTCCGGAACGCTCTAAAACGTTTCTGATTTGGAGCTTCAACAGGTTCCAAGAGCATGGAGAACGAGATCCACTGGTCAATCATCGTGCACTTGCGTTGCTTCGTTGGTGCCCCCAGTCCCAACCAAATGCTTTTGTTGACCCAAAGCAGGGATAGCAGGTCCGTCGTCGCTGCGTGACCCAGCTATGCGTCTTTTTGCGGTCGAACTCATCTTGGCCACGCTGGGTAGCTCTGTGGAGAAAAATTAACACTTTTGGGATCGTTAACGTTATCAGCCATAGCCTGTGAAGCGTTGCCAGGTGCCGCCACAAACAGGTGATGACAGATGTCAAAGGAACTGTTGAGAAGCCCCTCCTGGGGAGCGGGGCTGACATACTAAGGCGATCGACGTCCAACGAAGCCACAAATTCGCAGCTTCTCCTGCTGAAGTTCTTGACGCCTGAGATTCACGAGCATGGTTCAGGCTTGTAATGATCTCAAAGATAGAATATGATAGAATTATGATAGAATATGTCCTTGAACTGCTTCTCCAAAATCATCTTCAATGACTTCTGTCTAATCTCAAAGTTCCAAACTTGCAATGTCACTGCGAGGGCGTGAAGAAAGGGAAAGTTCTTCGGGGCTTTCTGTTGAATATTGTTGAATCTAGTCTACTAGTCCAACATAGCTACAGCTGCAGCATGCTACAGTTTCCTCTGCCCAGCTTGGAAGGCTTGCCGGCTTGAGAAACCAAGGTCGCCCCAAACACCCGCCCACCTGCGGCATCCGATCCACTCACCAGTTCTACTCCACCGGGTGACGGTGGCGGGTCGATCGACGACTTCAACGTGTGGATGTGCCAAGCTGCACCCGTTTGGATTGGGGATCCAGTCGTAACGAACCTCAGGTTCGGTACGACTGGACCCTCCAAACCTACAGAACAGTGTCTCCAATCATGAGATCTTCCGAGAAGGTACTTGGGTCCCTTAGGATTGAAGATCCTGCGCCAAGGATGGCCAGCTGGGCGTCCCAAGCTGCTCCTCAAGCTTGGCAGCTGCAGCAGCAGCTTCACGCCTGCGTATTGTGATGGTTTTGGCCCATCGCGCAAACCCACCTCCCATCACATTTAGAAAAGGAACGTTACTACGTCCAAGTGTTGAACCCAACAGACCGGTTGACCCAGCCGAAGGACCTCCATGATGCCTCGCAAGATGAAGCACTACCCTGCTTTGAAAAGAAGAGTCACAAGCATTGTAAAGTGCTGGTTCATGAACACATGAAGCCGTCAACGCCATCTATCAATCCCGATGACCGTCATCAGCACGTCCGAGCTCCCGTGCTGGGCGTCCTCATGCTGCTGTTGCATCACGGCCACCTGGCAGGGACGGCGAAACGATGAACCTGTAACCTAACACCACCCCCCCACAAGCTCCTGGATCTTCAAGCAGCTCAATTCTTTGAGGTCCCAGACCCTTTAGGCCACCAATGAGTCTTTTTCCAGTTCTACAACACACGTGCGCCCGGTGCGCTTCGCACACACAGCACGAAGTCGGCCTTGGACGCGAAGTCGGCCTCGGCTTGTCGACCTTGGCTCTCGATTCAATCCAAGGTCCTAGTGCCCTCCATTTTTCTGACCCCTCAGTTTCCCTGGAGAATAGGAGATGGGAACCGATGTGGGCTGGAACTCACATGGACGTAGAGTGGAGTGAAAACCCCCTAGTCGAGGTAGGTGGGGGATTTGGTTCCTGTCGGCCGCATTCATCCGCATGCCCCCTTTCCTTGCCAAGCGTCTTTCAGCAGCACTTGAGGATTGCAGTTCTTCTTTTGCCAGCTGGGTCTGGCAGCGGGCGAGTGGCAAAGCCAATGTTAGAACTGCTTTCAAGTCTTTCCGGATTTGCTGCCTTGGGTGATCGTGCCAAGGAATTTGAGGCCATGCTGGGCCATGCTGGGCCAGCAAAGCAACCCCGCAACATCCAAACTACTTCACACAGCTCCACACTCACCTCCTTCAGCAATCCTTCGATCCGCTGCTTCTCCTGCTTCTCTGCTTCCAAAGCCTCAGCTCTGAAAAAAAAGAAGGGACCAATCACTGGCCCTTCTGCGACGAAAGGGAACACGAATGGACTTCAGAACCAGCTTGCAATAGTGAGAACCGACTTGATGGAATTTATATACCGGATCTGACTGAGACTCAAACCAAGACCTTCTATATAAAGTAATCTTTCTGCTTCAACAAAGGGCTTGGCCAACAGGTAAACTTGCCTGGCCAAGTGACTGAATCGGTTTCGGCAAGCTGCGTCTGCAGCTGTTGCGCTTCAGCTCTGCCACGCTCACGCTCATTCTCCAATTCCTGCCGGAATTGACTACAGTGATTACAGTGCGGAGAGCACTACCCATTGCCATCCAAAAGATGTTCTAACAAACATGCTTCTGTCAAGACGTCAGTCATGCAGTAGCAGAATTCATCAAAATTAAGCATTGGGAGTAGCCAGGTGCAGGGACTGAGACCAAGTTCTAAAAATACCTTTCTAGAAGATGCTAGAAGTTGTTTCAATGAAGGGCCCAGCAATACTAAGTCGATCAACGAATCAACACACTGAAGAAACTAAAACATGTTTGACCGTGTGGAGACCAGTTTCCACCCCGTTTGCAGGCCGCCATGCCAAACGCCAAAACGGTGAATGAAGAAGTTGCCCCACTCAGGGCGTCGGCTCGACGCCTTGGGACCTCCCCGGCAAAGCAGAGACACCCGGTCCTTTTGAAGTTCTTTGTGCCTGGGATTGGGCACCAGGACCATTTGGGGCGCCAGGACCGGTAGAAGAGAGTCAATGATATCATGATTTCAGGTGGATCAAATGTCAAGAGTGATGGTGAGGAGACTCAGGAAGGGAACTGGTTGTGATTGACATGTTCTGCATACGTACTGCCATCCTGTGGCCAACTGGGCTTCCCCAGCTGCTCCTCAAACTTGGCGGCTGCAGCAGCTGCCTCACGCCTGTGTTGCAAAGCGTCTCCGTGTCCAATCACAACACAAGGAGCCTGGAACCTGGAACCAACGCTCTCAAATCACTTGTCTCGATGCCGTACGCGTACTGCAAACTGCCCAAAAAAGCCATAGGAAATCGCGCGCCTCACAAATCCCAAAGGGAAGAGATAGATGAGATAGGAGATATCCAACATTGTCAGTCTAGTGGATTGAGAGTAGATGGCATGGGTATCCCGAATCGGTGGGGTGTCTGAACGAGACCGTCAGTCTCGTTGGAGCGACAAGGAGGAGGAGCCCAACTGGCCCTTCTCATCTCCAGCGCCACTGGGCGCCCCAACTGGGTGTCCTCATGCTGCTGTTCCATCGCGGCTACCTGACCCATCGGGAGGCTCCCGAGTCAACTCACGTGGACCCTGACTGTCTGGGCCCCTGGAAGATGGTCCCCAAGCAGTGGGAACTTCAGGGTCCATGGGATCGTCTGCCAGGGTGTAACTACAGCACATGGATGACGCTGCGAGAGAGATCACTGCCCCAAGAATGTGTCTTGCTTTCACTCCAACTGTAATGCCAATGTAGCTATTGCACTTCTCCATTCGTCGTCGTCGTCGTCGTCGTCGTCGTCGTCCTGCAAGCATATTCTTTGCCCACCATGCAGGGGCCTTCGCTGCAAAGTCAACCTGCGCTTGTTGACCTGCAGAGAGGTGCTCAAGTTGCCCGCTCTCTCGCATCTTTTCCATAAGGCACTTGTTACTAGTAGCGATGCACTTGTTTCTAATAGCTTCTTGTTACTACTAGTAAGGTACCTGTCTAGCGTGGCACTTGTTTAGATCATGTACTAAACAGTTTGTTGTGACACGCGCCGCACGTGCCGACAGATCTGTGATCCACAAAACGCACAACAAAACTTGGCGAAAACTGTTGGGGGCCCTGAATATCCCTGAATTCTCTGACACGAAAGCTAGTGAAACCGAGGGAGTCGAGGCGAGTCGAAATCGTCGAAATCATGGCCCAGCGGCGTTCAGCAGCACTTGAGGATTGCAGTTCTTCTTTGGAGAGCTGGGTCTGGCCGGGCACGGCAAGCGTTTAGAAGTCTACACCCGGGAAGAGACCCCCATACAGTAGAACCTGAAAATGGACCTGCAAGGAAGGCTAGTTTCCTCAACAAGCCAGTGGTTTGCAGGTTCCATATGGGTCTCCTCCAGGGCGTATACAAAGCCTTGGAATGCTGGGGCTCAGCAAATTTGTTTCACTGCAGTTCTCAGATATCTATTTCTTTGCTTCCTGAGGTCTCTCAGAGTGCGCTGAGATACTTTTGGCCGGCGATGCTGGAAATTCCAATGTTCGGAACGTGACACATTCAAGCCACGAACGACCTCCTTCAGCAATCCTTCAATCCTCTGCTTCTCCTGCCTCTCTGCTTCTAAAGCCTCAGATCTGAACAAAAAGGGACCAATCACAGCCCCGCTGCCGCCACACGAAAAGCTCGGCAAATGATTCAACAATGATCAACCTATGGAATGCAACGGAATGTATCAAAGGATGTCAAAGGCCAATCCAATCAAATTATCATCCAAAAAGCCCAAAGACCTTTTAAGTATCTTCACAACCCTCTAGTGAGTCTAGTGTAGCAGAGCGCCCTGCCCAGGGTCGTCCGGCCAAGTGGCAGAGTTCGTTTCCGCGAGCTCCGTCTGCAGCCTCTGCTCTTCAGCTCTGCCACGTTCACGTTCCTTCTCCAGCTCCTTCCAAAAGCGCTTGACATGCGAAAGAGCAGTTAGGATCTCTCGGATCTCTCGCAAGTACTATGCTATCAATCTTTGGGAATCCTCTTTTGGATACCGGATCTTGCCTGAAATGGCCACTGGATCACCTGATGCACTAGTAGATGTTATGATGTTACCATGTTTTGCCCATGAAGCATTTGGGGGTATTACTTTGACTTGGGTGTATCCCATTCCCTGCAACAATGGATGGTTCAGTTACAGGCCTTTCAGGCCTTTCTCAGAAACAGTTATCTTTTTTCGAACGACTGTTACAGGTTGCCTGGGGCACACACGAGGTCACTAGGTATTGCTTACGTGGTCTGTGACACGACGCTTACACCTGCAGGTTGGATAGCATGTGGGCAACATCGGATGGCGAGTAGGACGTGCCGTTTCCACCCCCCCCACCGAGCGGAGGACATAGACTACCCTGAGAAGAAAGACCCGTTAAAAAACATGTTACAGTAGATGTTACTAGTAGTTTCTTGTTCCTAGTGGCGATGGCCTCCAACCTAATAGCGATGGCCTCCACCTAGTAGCTTCTAGCTATACTAGTAGCTTCTTGCAAAGCACATAGACCCGCTTCAAACAGATCTTCCATGAGATTCTCATGTTCTGCAAGGGGAGTTTGGTTCAGAATCTCATGGCATCTGGGCGATGTCCAGCGTGACGACCATTCACCTGTCCAGTGACTCGTTTCGACCGAGACTGTCCCACCCAAGTCCTTCTGAAGTTCTTGCCTCCTGGGATGATGGGATGTGGTGGCATGTTCCGCGCCGGGAACCGCGGAACATCAAAGACTTCACCTAGGCAATGTTATTGAGTATTAGGTGTGTGTATTGACAGTTGCCCCTGAAATGTGCGTCAGTGTCGTCCGCATTGCCACGCTCGCAGCCGGAGATGCGTGGGGCTCATGGAACCTATGTGAAGAGCCGGACCCCCGCCCTGTGCAGAGCATGCCAAGAGGCCAGGCTGAAAGGCCTAAATTTAAGGTCACCCTTGTGAAAACATGAGACGGCACTCCAATCATAGCCTTTGCATCAAACCATCAAACCCAAGAGTGTAAAACATTGCCTCTCCACTGACTGGTACACTCTTGGACAGTTCCTCATGAGAGCAGGATGGGGCTGCTGCACTGCTGCGCCCATCTGAAGATCTCGTGCCATCCGTTGGCAAACTGGGCGTCCCGAGCTGCTCTTCAAGCTTGGCGGCGGCAGCAGCTGCTTCGTGCCTGTCTTTGCGAAACACTGCTTCACCCCGTGTCGAAGCACAGTACCAGGGGAGGAGCCCAGAATACAGGGGCACCCCCAACAGTTACCCAAACCGAGTGCTGAGAAACCCCTTTCCATGGTGCCTTGAAACTCACAGTTCAAGAATTTGATAGAATTTGCGTAGTGCAACAAAATGCCAATCCCATAGTTTCTTGTCCAATCTTGCTCGTCACTTGCTACAATTTGTATACTTGCCACAGATGTTGAAAAATCCAGTGAACACGCCAAGTCAATTGACACTCATGCCCATGCAGCACCAGGGACCCCGGCTGGGCATCCTCATGCTGCTTTTCCATCACGGCCACCTGACCAATGATCATGTGGCAAAAAGGTCATGAATCTTGTCTTCGCATGTCTTCGCTCCCACCTCAATCCAGGAAAATGAAGCCCACCTCTACTAATTAACTGCTGGAGAATCAACGACAATATTTGTTGCCCTCGGTGCTGCGGCCTTTGCCGCAAAGTCCGCCTGCGCTTGTCGACCTTTGTCCGCTCAGAAATGCTCAAATGCCCCCGCTCAACGGCACAACATATCACAAGGGTCATGAGACCGCATAACATTTTGAGGGCCAGGAATGGATAGACGCTTTGGAAATCAGTGAGAGGGTTGAGCAGAGTTGAATCCTTACTTCATACATCTTCATGCTCATGTTCGCCACGCTGCATTTCCCTTTCCTTGC